CACCCAGTCGTTGTCAAGGCTGCCCCAGTGGCCCCGGTTCACGCTGTGCACGCTGCTCCAGCTGCCGTGCGCGCAGTGCACGCCGCCCCAGTGGTGCACGCCGCTCCATTCGCCTACGCCCACCACGCGCCTCTGGCCTACGGTCTTGCCAGGCACTTCTAAGAAATAAATAAATTATTGACGCATGACGAATTGGGCCCTGATGAATGAGATTGTGCTTCAGGTTCCCTCTCACGACGGGCGCGCTCTCCGATAAGCAAACGATTTTACTTACGCATACAGCACGGTACTGAAACTTGCAGGTTTTATGCTCCAGCCAGAATGGTTATGGTACTTGTAACCTTACAAACGATTTATTCTTCTTTGACTTAGCTACTGGTCTAAAATAGTATCTCAATGTACACGAATAGGAATTTATTCTCACTTTGTGCCAGTACGTCATATATGAATGCAGTTACCCCCTGCCAATTCTTTTTTTTTATATGAAACTAATCAGACAGCGCAATAATTACAGCAATTCGATGTCGACATAGCCACATCAACTTACAAAGAGCAACCAGTGATTTGTCCTGAGCGTATTTTCATCGCTTCGTGAACAGTGACAATGCGGTAGTAGCCGATAACCACGTCTGCTCTTTTTGTAGGGGGTTGTGGTGACGTCAGATCGCCGAGCTCTGATTGGCTCTGGTTGAAGGATAGTGGGTAGACCTCAAAGCAAGCAAACCTTGAGGTCTACCCACTATCCCTCAATCAGAGCCAATGAGAGCTCGGCATTCTGACGTCACCACAACCTCCTACAAAAGAAGCAGACAAACTTGTGCACCGCATATTTCAATATATTCCAGAAGCCATGAAAAATACTTGTATGGATTTTCATTGGGGAGAGGGGTGGAGGGTAATCCGGTTGCCGAGTGTGTTAAAGCACCGCAGGTCGGAGCATGCGGAGCGAAAGCTCGCGCTGCGGAAACCCGGGATCCTGGGTTCAACCCCACTCCTGCTCGTTTTTATGTGGACAAGCATCGAACCGCCGTGCTTGTGCATCACTACTGCGCGATGCTCGTTAAAGACCTCAGGAAAAGCGGTTGTACAACACTGGCTACAATTGTCATTTACATCTAAGGCTCACGACACCCATTGCGGCTGAATAATTTTATGGCCCTCTAAACATGTACACAGCTCGATTACATGTTGATTGCTTTTAGGAGCCAAGCTCCTTAGGGGCTACCCATGTCTGTATGTCCGTCCGATATCCGGCGTCGGGTGCTCGTGCTCACGAGCACGTGAGCACGTGCTCCCCTGCTCGTGTGAGAAAAAAAAAAAAAAACGCATCTCCACGTGGTGAATGATGTTGATTGGGGAGAAGCTCTAGTGGTGCTTGTCTGCGTAGACGGTGAGCGCAGCATGCCGAGCCTTTCGTTCGTTTTCATCCATGTCAGAAAGAGAATGTGTGGTATGGAACGTGGTTATATACGCATTTGAGCATTTGACCGCTGAGTGACATGGATGAAAATGAACAAAAGGCTCGGCATGCAGCGGCTCAGCGTCTACGCAGACAAGTACCACCAGAGCTTCGCCCCAATCAAGATAATTCACCACGTGGAGATGCGGATTTTTTTTCTTATATTTTGAAATACAGGATAATTGATGATTTCAAGTGAAGTCAAGTCAAGTCAAAATGTGCTTTTATTTGTACACAAGATGTTAGATAATTACACTTATTCAGACGGGGGTCTCAGAGTTTTCAAAAGAAAACTGTTGAAGGGACCCCTTGGTAATAAAGGGTTAGTCAGCGATCAAGTTAACACCATTATATAAAAAATAAAAAATAAAAAAACGAAACACAATTGTGGTATCTACATAATCAAAATATTAAACCAAGTGAAAATAGAGAGAAGAAAAGCTAGAAAGTCGAGAGAAAAGGACAATATCAGTGTGTGTTTGTGTGTTTGTGATTGTGTGAAAGGTGTGCCTAGGAGAGAAGAATGAATCGGAGGGGGGGGGGGGAGGGGGAGGGGTATAGAAATGGTTGATGAATCATGCGGATAGTATGTGGGCACGCATGGCTTTTTTAAAGATATAGAGTGATGACATGGCAGTTAGGCAGGGTGGTAGAGAGTTCCACGTTTTATTAGCAATATAAATGAAGGTGAACGCACCATAATTAGTTCGTATCCATGGTACAGACAGTGACGCTTGTGAATGTGAACGCAGAGGATACATGACATCTTGATGAGTAAAACTAATTGAAGAGCATGTTATTTGATTGGTGATGAACTTAAATGTTAATAATGCTACACGATAATCGAGGCATTGAATAACTGTTAAAATGTTGAGGAAGCGGTACGCAAATTGAGCACTTTCGCGCCTATTAACAAACAGCATTGCTCGTAGTGCCGTGTTCTGGGCGATTTCTATGGGTTTTAGTGTTGTTTTATATGTCAATCCATAAATGGATAACCCGTACGAAGTGTGAGTATGAATGAAGCTGTGATAAAGCATTTGGAGGGTTCGTAAGGAAAACGTGTACCGTAGTTTATATAGAATTAGAATATTTCGATATATCTTATTAGTTGTGTCTTTTACGTGTTGGTGCCATGTTAACTGATGGTCAAGTGTTAATCCTAAAAATTTAGTATGGTACACTCGAGTTAGGTTAATACTTGCAAACGAAAGCTGAGGTGTGTTTACAATTAGTTTGTTTTTCGGGGCAAAAATTATGTAGTTTGTTTTCGCTATATTGGGAACTAATTTGTTATGGGTTAGCCATTTAGCAAGCTTTTCTAAAGTGTTATTAGCTTCCATGTATACTTCTGTCACGCTTGCATTAGATATAAAAATATTTGTATCGTCGGCATAAAGAACACAATATTTTCGTAAATAGGCTGCCAGGTCATTAATATATATTAAAAAAAGAAAGGGACCTAATATTGAGCCTTGCGGAACACCGATGGTAATAGGTTTAGTTGTTGAAATAATGCCATCCAAAGTGACAAATTGGCATCTGTTTGATAGATAACTTTCGATTAGATTGAGAGCAACACCGCGAACCCCGTAAGCACTTAATTTCTGTAGTAAAAGTTCATGGTTAATTAGGTCAAACGCTTTTGTTAGGTCTACAAAGATTCCCATTGTTAATAGCTTCATTTCAATATTTTGCTTTGTTGTCTCTACCATATTTAATAACGCGAGTTCTGTTGATTTCCCCTTAAGAAATCCATATTGTGACGGAATGATCAAATTATTTTCAGAGAAGAACAGGTTCAGTCGCTTTAGTAGAAGTTTTTCAATCACTTTTGTAATGACAGGAAGTAAGGCGATTGGTCGATAGTTCTCTGGTTTTAGTTTGTCTCCTTTTTTAAATATTGGAGTCACTTTTGTGATTTTGAGTAAGTCGGGGTAAGAGCTAGTCGTGAAAATTTTGTTGATAATATCAGCCAAAGGGTACGCAATGATAGAACCACATTTTTTTAGTATTATCGTCTGTATTCCGTCGCACCCCAACGACGACGTATTTTTTAGCGTGTTAATGGTATTATGAACTTCTTCTGGATCGACAGGGTAAAGAAAAAACGTCGTGTCAATACGAGCTATATTTGGTGTTCCAGTGTATAGATTTGTGTATGAAAGATACTGTACGTTTGTAGTGATAGTTGAAAAGTAGTCATTGAGCGTGTTAGCAATTTCTTGTTTGTCCGTAATTATGCCTTGGTCGGTGCTTAAGGCTGACACGGTTTGTTCGGTAGTACTCTTATTTAATGCAGAGTTAATAATTTTCCAGGTTTCTTTGGGATTGTTAATGGCGTTTGAAAGTTTACTAAAAAAATACTGCTGTTTAGCTACGTTAACTAATTTCTTTAAACAAACATTATACAATTTGTATTTAGATTGAAGGCGTAGATTAAATAGATTGCGTTTTAGTTTTTTATACATATTGTTTTTGTGATTGATAGATCGCTGTAGTCCATATGTTAACCAGGGGCTTTTTCTGACTGATCTGCGGGATAGGGTTTAGGTTTTTGTACCTATTTGAATGGAAGATTTTAGTGTTTCTAAAAAGTTGTCTAGTTTTAGGTCTGCCGCGGGCGCCTGGTACACGCTCTCCCATGACTTCGTGTTTAATGTATTTATTATTACGTTGTAATCGTATATTTGAGTAGTTTGTGTTATCGATTGTGGCACCTTATGTGTATTAGAAACAGCGAAAATGGGTGTATGGTCGGTTATGTCGCTTGCAATAGTGCCAATTGTGAAGTCTGTTGGATGACAAGACGTAATTATGTGATCCAAAGTGCTGCGTTTTGTGTCGCTAAAGCGGGTAGTTGTTGTTATGCATTGTTGTAGTCCGTAGACGGCTAGTGTATCTAGGTATCTGTAAGTGACGGATGAATCAGCAGAAGTGTCAATGTTTATGTCGCCCATAATGATAACATTCGAATTAATTTGAGAAATGTTTTTGAGTGTTTCATTTAAGCTGCCTAAGAAGTGCTCAACTGCATTATTTGGTGAACGGTAAATGACGCGAATGAGTGTACTTTTTGTTTTATCGGGAACTACACTAGGTGATTTGGGATTTGGCGGAATTTCTATAAATAGTGATTCACAAAGATTAGATGACATATGAATGTCATCTCGAAGTCTGAAAGTAAGTGTATTTTTTAAGTAAAGAGCAACTCCCCCGTGTGATATAGACGGAAACGTTATTTCTTGTGGTTCGCGATGACCATACATTACCTGATAGCCAGGGATATTGAAGTTGTTATTCGTTTTATTGCTGAGCCATGTTTCAGAGAGGGCGATAAAATGAAAATTATGTTTTAGGGTAGATAATAAGCAAATCACATCGTCATAATGACTACGTAAGCTTCTGATGTTCAGATGGAGTACCGATAACTCTGATGAAGTGGATGTCTGTCTGGAAAATAGGTCTGGTTCAAGCAAGGATACGTTCATAAGGAAAAGAAAAAGTGAGAACCGAAGAGGGACACAGAAAGATTTAGCAGCTAGACAAAGACGCTCAAATCATCCTGGGACATGATATTGTGAACTGAGCTCCCATTAGTTTTTCTGGCTTTAATAACACATTGGTCAGTCCACAGATGCCTCCATTCCTTGTCTTTCTTTAGGCGCAGTGCCGCAGAGAAGAGTTTTTTGTTTAGAGGAGAAAGGTGATCATTAAAAAAGATTTGACGCGGTTCCTCTTGTAGGTTCAAATCTTTGCTTGTGATGCGAGCGCGGCGTGCCTTCTTTAGGAAATCGTTCTTATGATCCCTCGAGATGAATCTCGCGATTATGTTGTGAGCGTTTGGTTGACTTGTGGTGGGAACCCGGTGCACGATGTCGATGTCAGCTTTAGTGATGCGACAGTTGATGTGGGTACCAATGTGTGCTAGAAGCTCTCCGAGATCTTCGGTCAGGTTGTTGGGCACGCCACGGATCTCAACGTTGTTGAGACGTGAGTACTGCTCGAGTTGAGCGACCTGCCGTGTTAGGTCTGTGTTATTTGTTTCTAATAATTCATTGCTCTGTTTCAGTTTTGTGTTGTCTGCACTCAAACTATCACACTTTGCTTTCAGCTCTTCGATATCTTTGTTCATGAAGGCCAGACTATTCTGAGTCTCATGCAGCTCGTTCCTCAAAGTACGGAATTCTTCTTTGTTTGCAACATCAAACTCTTTTTTATGACCCGATATCAATTGTTAGTCAAGGAGGATTCTTTACGTCACTGACCTAGGAACTAAGCAGTGGTAAAATCACTGCCCATATTGATACCGGAAGCTTCAATTGTAGTCAATACCTTCTCGTGCTTCACGCATGATGATAAAAAAAAAAAAAACATTGACCATTACAAAAAAGTTGCAGTGGTAATATAATCGGCCATATTGCATAATAGTCAACTAAAACTCCGAACGCGTCGCAATACTTCTGGTGTTAAGGAATAAAGGAACTCCAACCAGACCCTACAAAAGTAGGTGCCAAACGTTTCAAAACGACTTGCTTCTTCTTGAGAGGCTGCCTCTGAAGAAGACTACTGTTTGAAAGCAGCAGCGTAATCTACAGTATTTGTGGTGTTTTATTCTTTTCTTCTTTTTTTCCTTCGTCAATTGGATTAGCGCATTTATGAACACGGATGGTAAAAATCCAAGGGATTTGTTGATGTTCCCTGGCGTATTTTGGGTGTGTCATGATTCAATCAAAAGTTTCAGCCGGGGATTACACTCGATGTTGAGAATGCACGGGTTCTTGAAGTCTATCCAATAGACTTTTATGTCAGAATGTTACGAAACAGCGCTTCGCTCGTGGTCAAATTTGAGAAGGTCGTTTTTGTGTCGGAGAAGCTTTAACGGGACGATCAGTAAGGGAGGACAGGCCACTTGGGTATCGAGAAGCGAACTGCACGAATGTCTTTTTTTTTTTTTTTTTTTTTTTTTTAAAGTGGTTTATATAGACTTGGAACGTCATGGTTGCTAGGCACAAGGTTGTTTGGCTCAAGAGCATGAGGCCGTTACAGAATACTTTTTTGAAAATTCTTTGTTTCAGACGATCTGTCTGGCGGGGCAATCAGGACAGGGAATTATGTGCACAGATTCTTGTTTCTTTTCTTTAGGTGAGATATCTTTTAGACGTGGCCTAAGTCATCCGAGTGTTGATATAGGCTTGTGGGCTACCTAAATTCTTTACTTTGCAAGCACGCATGTCAGTGACTCACTCTATGTACTCTATTTACTATTATATCGCGTGCAGTGGCTCTGCTGCCGGAGAAAATCTGATTCTAGAGTTAATAATTCACTGGGGAGTGAATTCATTTTGTTTAAATAATTTGTTATGATCTTCACCTCTATTTACCGGATCAACATTTACGAAATTCTAGGGAAATAAAATAGCTGCGGAAAGGACGGGGACATAGGCTGAAACAAGTACGACACACGGAGCGCAGTTTATTTTGTTCCCTAGACATAAACCAAGTAGCCCGCCAAAATGTGTTACGAGATCTAATTCAGTTTGAACTTAGTCAAACGTCGAGAATTAGCCTTTAGATATTTTTTATTACCAGTCAATTTCACTATTTGGAACATTTTAGAACACCAATTTTCTCGTCTATGCCTCACCCGGAAACTAAGTTTCGTTGAGCCTAATATATATGGGTTTGAAATTGCAAACCCGAGAGTTAACTATATCAATAATTCAATGGCCAAAGGGATAAAACTTAAAAAAAAAATGATATCCAAAACTTTAATTCCGCACACTGAAACACCAAACTTCCAGTAAGGATGCACTATTATAAGCCCTTCGCGAAAATATCAAAGCCAGGGATTGCATTCACCAAAGCAAATGTGAAAAAGTTGAGCTTTGATATAGTGTGTTCTTTTAGGCTTTACAGATTTGTTCAAAAAAAGCCGAGAAAGCTACACCACTGGTGTTTGTGCAGGTGAGTTATGCGGCCAGGGGAATATAATCTAGGGGGCTAATGGTCAAGATAAGTCGGGAAATGAACTCAAATGTGTTAATTAACATTCATTTAGTGAAACTAAACATGGGATTTTAAATAGAAACTGATTGAGCATCATCAAAACCCACTATAAAAGTAATTTTAGGAAAGACTTTGAGCGCGTGGAATGCGCAATACCCCACTGCATCTCCGACTCGTGCAACAGGCACAAGGCTGCCGTTGAGAAAACGCCTATGATAAGACAGAAAAACCGTTCGGTCGCGTTACCTCCCCGGTAGCCTTGAGCCTGCTGCACGAGTGAGAATTCAGCGGTTTCCCGCACGTGCTTCCCACGTGTTCTAAAAAGTTTTTAGAATATTCACTAGGTAATTTACTGTTTTTAATGGCGCGCAGCAAGTTTCTAATTGAAACTAAATGTTTATTTTCACTACTTAAATAATAACGAACACATTTCATTAGTTAAATTTAGTTATTGTGACTAGTGTATCATTTACTATATCCCCCTGGTCATATAACTGACCTGCACAAATCGCATTAGTGTAGCTTTAACGAAATTATAACGCAGATATGTAAAAAAAAACAAAAAAAAAAGATGAAACCCATAGATTATTAGATTCTGCTGAGATCTGAATTAATACAATCATTTTCATTTCTATCTCCTTTTCTCTGTTATCAAATGGAATGGACGAATTATACGAATCGCCATAGTTTGCTCACGCATGAAAGTGATTACACTAATAGGAGAAAGTTACGTCTCATTAGATTGAGGAAGTTCTTTTAGAGCATTTGTACATTAAAAGCGCGAGCCCAATCCTCTTTATTTGAGTAAGTCCTAGCTTTTTTGATTTCTTGTGGGACCGACGCTGGCGAATGAATTCAAACTAATTAAATGTAAGAAAATATAATAAAATATAGGTATTCCTAATTCTATAATCTAAACAAATAGACAGTTCATAATTCAGATGACCGGAATGGCCGCTGTGCCATGGAGGCAGAAAACTAACGCCAAACAGAGCGACCTTAAATAAAGCTGACAGGAGAGGAACCTCCACGAAGTGCGCCCGCGATGCGAAGCGAAAATCAGTATTCCCACAATATCTGCAACTGCAACGGCCTGTCTTCTCAAGTAGAAAAGGCCGTTAGCAGGACGGTGCATGTAAAAAAAAATTAAAAAAAGCAGGAAAAATAAACGTTGTCAACAAAAGAGAACCTCGCAAAGGAAGGGAAAAACTGAGATGAGTCCAGCATATAAAAGACGCAAAATAACATCTCTTCTTTCCCAGTTCGTCGTCAAAGAGATTAGCTTTTTTTCTTCAGCAGACTAAAGCAAAACAAAGAGAAAACGTCTCGTCACATTCCTTTCCTTTAGCCCCTTACACGTTCCGGCGCTATTTAATTCATCTGGCATAGTTTCTAATTTCCACGCCGCTGATTCGTTAGACACAACACAGAAGCATGCTAGGGCGTGTCTATAACATACTCTGCGAGGTATATAAGCAACCGTCAGCTACAAACGCACAACGATTTCCAGCCAAGAAGGAAAGTAATCACCATGTTCTCCAAGGTGCGGCAATATCCTTCTGTCTGATAACTGTTTTTCATTCAAATCCTCCAAAGGGGGCTGTGATTTCTTTTTCAATTGAATAACGGTTCACATCTCCGTTGCAGGTTCTTTTCTGCTGCCTCGTCGCCTACGTGGCCTGCGGTGTTGTTGTCGAACACGTAAGTTTACTGATATCAAGCTCTAATATAACATAAAAACTAGAAAACTGTTGAATATCATACGATGTAAATGTTCGTTTTGTTAGCAATTCCCCCAGAGTGAAATATAATGAAAGTACTCTAAAAAAACAACCTATAGCTCACACTGTTTTCTTTAGATATATTTGTGAGCCTTATAACACATAAAAAATCGAACAATTAAAACACCAAATACAAGCCTAAGAGAACACGACTGTAGCAAGGCTTGAGTTAAGTACGCATCTGCGTTTCTGTAGGGGCTGTGGTGTCAAAGCAACTAAGAGTGTTTCTTTGGTATTTGCCCTGCTAAGTAACTGGACACTAATATCTACAAAACGTTAAAAATTGGTTGTACCCATTCAACTATATATATATACACACAACTTAGTCTGTTATAGACAGGACGTACTGCAGTAAGGAAAACTTCCTTCATATTTGTTTCCTCCTTGCACTTTTCTTCTGCAGGCGCCAGCCCAGCCATACAGCTTCGGCTATGACAACGTTGACGAGTTCGGCACTCGCATGACCCGTCAGGAGACTGGAGATGAGTTCAACAACAAGGTCGGTTCCTACAGCTACGTTGATGCCTTCGGTGTCACCCGTCTGGTAAAGTACGTCGCTGACGCCACCGGCTTCCACCCGACCGTTGAGACCAACGAGCCGGGCACCAAGACCTCGGTCCCGGCCGACGCTCCGTTCTTCTCCACCGCCGTTGAGGGCCCACACCCGGTCGTTGTCAAGGCTGCCCCAGTGGCCGCGGTTCACGCTGTGCACGCTGCTCCAGTTGCCGTGCGCGCAGTGCACGCCGCCCCAGTGGTTCACGCTGCTCCCTTCGCCTACGCCCAGCACGCCCCCCTGGCTTACGGTCTTGCCAAGCACTTCTAAGAAATTAATAAATTATTGACTCCTGACAAAACAAGCTCTCGTGATACCGTCCTTCTTATAGGTTGTATTGAGACGATAGAGACACACTAACAGATTTCTACAAAAGCTTACATAGTCAAGGTTTATATAAAATTATTAAATAATTTGTGTGCACATACATTTATAATTTAATCCAAACTGTGATAATGAAAACGCTTCATTTTGCTTGCACCCTCAAAGAACCTCGGTCTCCGGTGTTGTGCACACTACTCACACATCAAAAACAAAAGCCAGTATTAAAACTCAAATGAGAAATGTTAGGCACACAAAACTAAAACAGATACAGGAGATGTCTTGGCATATTCAAGAAGACAACATACGTTTTGGGATATGCATATTAAAATTATTCAAAACTAAAAAAACCTAGCTTTTTTATTTCTTTTAGTTTAAAATTTTAATTAATTGTACAAAATATAAAAAATTTATTTAAAGGGAGAGTACATTGAATAGCATTCGCATCAAAACTGACGTGTTTTTCTAGCTTATTTTTTTAATCACTTAAATGATTAGGCTTTTTTACTTGTTTAAATACAATGATATTATACATCTAATCATATTAGAAAACCCATATTGCTTCAATTTCCAAAACATTCTGATTAAGGAATGTTTTTTTTTTCTAATCAAGCAAATTCATTTATATAAATTTATTTTACTGCATAAATGCTAAATACCATGGGCTGATATCAGACATATATGAGAGAACATGAATGATATACTACAGCATTTTCCAGGTGTCAAGTTTCCAGCTATTAGGCATATGTAAATAACAAACAACAAGTTAATCTTGGATATTTGTTAAAAAAAACCCAAACCGGATTACGCAAGTGAGAACGATGACGACAAATGGGGCTTCCAGTTCGCCACATTTATATCTCACCATTCGAAAATAGATGCAGCCAAACTTGTTTTGCAATGGAGAGAAGCGCCACTTAAAGGATTCAACATTTCCGACAGTGGACATGTAAGAGTACATACAGGGGTGAAGAGGCAAGTTGAAATGCATCAACTTGATATTTCTCGATTAGAGAAACTAAAACCAAAAGTGCGGTCGGACGAACAACTAGGTAGAAATCCTATCCGGTTGATCTCCGCTCTGCGGAATGCTAGGTCTGGCGTCGATAGGGAGAGGCATGTCGTCGCAATGTAGCCGCTGGCAGTAGTAATCGCAAAGGCCTAAGTTACTTCTCTGCCGTAGTGTTCATGGTATTTCAGGCCGATGCTTGTCTCTTAAAATTTTTGGTGGATGCACGGTACTCTTTGGCGTTAATTATGTGAACCAAATCCTTCTTCAGTGACGTCAACACCTTGCGGTGTCCACAGAGGCGATCGTTGAGGCAGCGTCCTTTTTAGCCGATGTTCTCTGCACCACAGGTTGAAGGAAGGACATGCACATTTTATTCAATAGACACAAAAGCTCGTACTCAGTGTATCTTGCACTGACTTAGGAACCTCATCAACAAATTAAATTTGGTATTCAACCTAGTTTCAATCTGCATCTGACAGCTGCGTTAGTACCATACTACGAAGCACCAAACAACGCGGTGCCATAAGAATAGACGCCAATTTCCCTCACCCCTCCCCCTGTCCCCCTAGAAGACTCTTGCATAATGCGGGGGGTGGCGTAACGGGCACACCCTAAGAAAAAAAGGTGGTCTCAAAGGACTAACGGAGCATTTGGTCCCCTCAGCTCCCATTCGCACACCGATGAGACCTTCTGGATCGAGCGAGGTACCGTGTGCAAAGGTTGAGGACTAACTGCACTCGACCGGAACTAACCGAGAGGCGCGGGAGCAAAGTCAACCTCTAGTCCTCCAAAGGACAGGAGGGGCATCTGTACAAACGCGTGGACCAGATGGCGGCTTCTGTTGCATCGCCGACGGCCAGTGTTGGGGACGTACTTACTGTTTCGGAACACAGGGGAAGATATTCAGAGATAATCGCAGTATCAGATGTTTGGTATACAGATGTTTGGCATAACGTTTAACCGATTTCGCAAATACAACATATTTTGAACACTGACTTTACAAATTTGTCAATATTTTGCCCAAATCTGTCACTTCAAAAAAACTCAATTTATTTGTGCGCGTCAATTAAAGTGTATGTATGAATTTAAGCGTGCAATGATTTCCGACAGGTGTATAAATTTACTATGTGCATTTTTTGTAATTGTGTATAATTTTGTGTGGCGCTCTTCTGAAGGACCTCTGACCTGCTGGTAAACACGACAGGAAATAAATATTGAAACATTGAAACCGCTCGTCTGATAGGTCTCAGCATTTATATTTATCACAAAGTTGTGATTTGTTAGCATAATGTCAGACTAGAGAGCGTGTCCAAACGTTGGCGTGCTGTGTTTACACAGCAATGCTTTAAGCTCACACAATATTATACCGACGCGGTTTTATGAACTGTGGTTATGACAGTATATTGCAACCAAATATACAGTGACACGTTCGGCTTTGATCATCAATTGATGTATTTACAAAAGTACGTTTAATTTGAACAACATAATTTAGAAAGAAAATATACACTGCACAAAACTCTGAGACCACACCTTAATTGCGTGTAGGAACTTAAAAGAAGCAGGTGAAATTGCGATCAGTACAGCCATATTAAGTACATAAAAAACTCTCGTCCTTTCCTCTTCGTCAACGTCTACTCCATCTGCAGCAAATTATTGTAAACAAAAACGAAGATAAAATCTTACACCGCATTTTTTTCTTTAGTGCCTTATAAATTCCTCAACTACGTAACTCAATTAGCATTATTTCTATTTTTTTTCTTTGCACTCCGACCATTGTTTTCTACAAAAACTAGGATATAGGGAGGCGTGTCTAAAGTCGGGAGTCTTAGGTATATAAGTAAACGACTGCTTCAAACGCACCACGGTTTCCACTTTGAAACGAGAGGAAAAGTACCCACCATGTTCTCTAAGGTATGCGAATATTTTAGTGTACGAGAACTTCGTAGCGTTCAGATCTTTCGGTATGAGCTCTATTTTCTCTTTCCCTGTAATGTAACAGTACACTTCTTTCTTGCAGGTTCTTCTTTGCTGCCTTTTTGCCTACGTGGCCTGTGGCGTTGTTGTAGAACAAGTGAGTTTGCTGACTCTTGTTGTTTTACTAACACTAAATAAGTAGAAGACAGCTTAGGATCAAGCGAGGCAGACACTTCTGGCATAAGCAGTTATTGCGAGGCAAAAAATGACACTTCTGTAAACAATAAAAAATATATTTGCTCATGCTTTATAGAAACCCTATTTTGCATTCAACAGAGACAATTACGGTACCTGATCTTACCTTTAACAGGCGTGATCTTACCTTTAACAGGCTCCATCCCAACCATACAGCTTCGGCTTCGACAACATCGACGAGTTCGGCACCCGCATGACCCGCCAGGAGACCGGAGATGAGTTCAACAACAAGGTTGGCTCCTACAGCTACGTCGACGCCTTCGGTGTGACCCGTGTGGTGAAGTACGTGGCCGACGCCACCGGCTTCCACCCGACCGTGGAGACCAACGAGCCAGGCACCAAGACCTCGGCCCCAGCCGACGCTCCGTTCTTCTCCAGCGCCGTTGAGGGCCCACATCCGGTCGTTGTCAAGGCTGCCCCAGTGGCCGCGGTTCACGCTGGGCACGCTGCTCCAGTGGCCGTGCGCGCTGTTCCCGCCGCTCCAGTGGTGCACGCCGCTCCCTTCGCCTACGCCCATCACGCTCCTCTGGCCTACGGTCTTGCCAAGCACTTTTAAGATATTAATAAATTATTGATAGATGTGAAATTAATTTTGCTATGAGATGATATTATTTTGGAATCTTCCCGACAACGGAGACGCACTGTGTCAGGTACAACATATGCGATAACTAGGGATGTTCGTTTTCGGGTTTTATATTCTTTTAAAATCGGGGGGTAAGACTCGGGTGCTATTTTTCAAGCTGGTGATCGGGCAGAAATAGGGTATTTTGTGGAAACATTTCGAAATTCGAAATGTTTCCACAAAAATGTTTCCACGAGGATTGGTGGGCGGTTCTTCAAGGGAAGCACCGCCCACGGAATCCTCCTCTCCCTCAGGTGTCAACGAAAAACCTGACCGTTCGACGGACAGCCGTCTTCGATCAGATATTTCGCCATGAAATAAACCTGTTAAGTCATCCCGATCTGTTTACGCGACTGACTGGCTCAGACGTTTTTCGTGAGAAAGGTTGGACTCCAGCGCGATGGCCATGCTATCCAAGAGAGTCTGCTGGGTGTCGACACCTCAGCGATCGAAGGGGGATTTATAGTGCATTTCACAAGCTGCGTGCAGCAGAGCCGAAGCTACGTGGCATGCCGAGGCGGCTCCACCTGCACAGCGGGGAGGGGGGGGGGGGGGGGGGGGCGGAAGGTTTTTTTGAGGCCCCAACGCCTCTTGTCGTTTTTCCTCAGCCGGCCTCCGTAGAAGCCTCCGTGTATCGCCCACAGTGCTGCACGCAGCTTTCGAACTAAACTATCGGTCACTGTTGTACCGAGGTAGGGTAGCAAGCGTGTGCGCACCCCATATTCCGTGCGGTGTAAAAATAAATAGGTTGGTTATGTGGTTTTGAAATTCGAGGAGAAATTGGGTTTAACCCCATTATCCTGAAACATGTTCGGGGTGTAAAAATCGGGTAAAATCCGGTTTTTACCCGAAAATGAACAACCCTAAGGAATCATAATCAATGCACCATTGTCCTCATACTTATATTAGCATATAACCGCACATTTGGAGACATGAAATTCGTTTATCTGTGACTAATATGGAGAGGGTTAGGATCATTCAAGGATTGCAAAATTAAAATGATACATCAATTTGGGGCTAATAGAAAAAAGAAAGAAGATGAGGCATTGAGAATGTTGAAGATGCACAGAATAAAGGATAGAAAAAACTATTGATATGTGCTTTTCGCTTCTTACGCTTAGAGTATTTGTTTCTAAATCACGTATAAGCAAGTTTAGGTAAAACCCTAAACACAGGTTCAAAAACTCAACCGAAAATAGCAGGAAGTTAAAACCCTGCGAAAATATTTTGAAATCATATATTTTAAAATTTGTCAGCGACATTTATCTTCAAATTATTATAATCTATGCACTGCAATGCCTAAAGAACTATCGTTCGCGCTTTATTAGAAGATGTTTAGACAAATTGTGCTTACAGCGATTGAAGTACCTCTAGTTTAAGTTGCCTGGATTAGACGTTCTATCAAGTGCCACTGAACGTGAATTAGCACTTGATGGGGTTGAGGGGATTGGCTGGCTTTTTCGTACAATGAGAAGGCACCGCAGGAGGCAGAAGGGAGGAAGAGGTAGGGGGAGGAAAGGGGAGGTAGGAGGTGGGGGAGGAAAGAGGAAGGCGTTGAGGAGAGTTGAGGGGTGGAGGGAGAGGTTTGGGAAAAGACAGGAAGGGTTGAGGAGGGAGGGCAAAGTGGAGAAGAGGGTGCAGTGAGAGGGTGGAGAGAGAAGAGTAAGTGCTGTCACGGTACGTGAGGTGTATATGTAGTGGATGTAACAAACGTTTTTTAAGTAAAAAAAATAAGGGAAACAGGGAATAGGCGCGTTGATGAATACAAAGCCACGACGTCCTTGGAAATGACATTCAGGCCATTACTAAAGGCCATTACTTGTCATCAATTTGCCACCGAAAATTCGCGAGGAAACTACATTTGTTGTAAAGGTCATCTGACGTCAATTAACCCTCAAAATTTAGTGAAAAATGCACGGACGAGCGGACGAATAGAGAAAGGTTTCGGACCACGTTCAAATAAAAGCAAAAAATAAAACCAACATGAAATGCTTTAGAAACGATTTACATGACATTTTATTATATGTATATTAAACCTGAAATGCTTTTAATCAAAACCGCCCAATCCCAAATTTTTTTTCCGCCCGTCGTTCCGGGCCTCTGTTTGTTTGTTCGCATTTTGCGCCAAGTTTACCGGACCAATTGACGTAACTTATAGTATAATTCGATTTGCACGCTAAATATAGCGGGAAAATTTACACCAAGTGACCTAAAGATGAGCAAAGTTTCTCCGCAAGATTTAAACGAACAATTGACGTCGTGCGAACTAACGTCATGGTTGCTATTTTCCAATCCTGTTTCGCCGCTATATTTGCCTGGGAAATCAAAGTCACATGAGCAAATGTCAAGGAGAATCAAATTAAAATGGTGTATAGGTCATTTGACGACAGGTCGACCCCCTCGGTCTACGCACTAATACGATTTACCTCTTTAAATTTAGTGGGAATACATATTTCACCGTACCCCACGTAACAGGACCTATGCTCTAATTCAGTTTCCCAGCTAAGCTTGGCGAGGAAAATATTGCCACGTGCCTCTATGTCACATGAAATCCAATTAATTTGCTGTATAGGTCCCTTGACGTCAGATCTTGTGACCTTGATATCAAACCAATTTCCCCCTTCAACTTTACTGTGGAAGTTTACGTCACCTGACCTGACATCATGTGACCTATACACTAATTTATATTTGCTGCTAAATTTAGCGAGTGGATTGACAAAAACAAAATTTGTTCACTAACCAGAACACCTGCTTATTTTCCTCGAAAAAATTATATAAAATATATATCCTTAAATCTTGCATTTCAAGGATTATGGAACTTTAAAGAAAATGTAAGTTGCCGATTTTTATAATAGTGCTTTTCCGGAGACTATACTTTCGAGTTACTCGCGGTAAATAACCCCTTATTACAAAAATTGTGTAAATTATGTTTGTGTGTCCCGAAAATCTTGCAAATGTCAGCTGGTATTTCAAACATTTATTTCGACTTTTAGCGTAATATCACGCTCTATGTAAAAGCAAACCTTATTGTTTCGCAGGCTATCCCAAACCCCCAGCCCATTTCTTGTACAAAATAAAATAAAAAATTATACAAAGGTTCATATTGCTCACTGGAGCCTACCATTGTTCGTATAGGCGATGTTCTACCACACGACGCTTCCGTGAAACGGCGTTCTATGAAGTGTACGATACCGGTGACTGCAGTACCCACCACGAATCCCTGCTACGGGTCTAAATTAAATAATTTTCGAACCCACATTCTACGTGAGTAAACTATCTAGTCACATCGCCATGAACAAACCTGCAAGAAAACCCGCGCAAGGAAAACCCTTCACACTCTTTCTATATCACATTAAATACAAATCATATCAGAGTGAATTCTTTAGCGCGCCTGAAACCACTGAGGGAGCACAGCCATAAATACAAAGCTTTTAGATACATATCTCCTTTAGCACCCCCTCAAATTCATTTTACTTACCTTGGACACTGCCTGTGTCAATTGCTTGAAACATAAAATTATATTTATCAGGGCATTGTACATCAGAGATTACCGACCACGAGAAAATTACTTTTTCGTGGTCCAAACTCTTTTCATTCACACATCATACAGTTTGTTCAATATACTTAGGGTTGTTCGTGTTCGGAGAAAACACGATTTTACCCGATTTTTACACCCCAACATGTTTTAGGAGAATCGGGTTAAACCCCATTTCTCTCCGAATTCCACAACCATATAACCAACCTTTTTACTTTTACGCTGTACGGAGTTTACGGTGCACACACGCTAGCTACCCTACCTCGGGACAACAGTGCCCTATAGTTAATTTCGCTTTAAATGCCGCAGACCCTTTTAATTTGCAGTTATTTTTGTTGTCTGTTTGCTTGTTTATATTAAATCAGCCTGAACTTAACATGTTAATTTCAGGCTGAAATAATATAAACAAGCAAATTAGCAACGTAGCACAAAGAATCCGACTAATACTCGTGCCACACAGGCAACTCGAATGCCATTTACAACGAATGACATTTGAGCGGACGGCCAATCAGAGCGCGACACTCCGGGGGTAGCGCATTCCACGCGCGACAGATAGCGAGCTTATTCACCGATCACACAAATGTCATTCGTTGTAAATGTCATTCGAGTTGCCCGTGTGGCACGGGTATTATACAGCTTGTTTACAACTGGGAATTTTGTGAAAATCCGGTAGAGCGACGACAAGTACCGCATACATAGCACATCAAATGACTCCCTTCCTTCCTGAAGGTCCAATTTTACTCTTTTTTTTCAGCAAGCTGAAGAAAAATATAGCAAAGATGTTATCCTTCCCCGCATTCCTTTTTTTAGGATTGTCCACATTCCACGCTACGTAATGTAATCAGGAAATTTTTATTTTTGTCCACTACTGCTATTGGCTTACGAGAAAAATTACAATATTAAGGCGTGTCCGGAACCTACTTCACAAGGTATATAAGCAAGCGCGGGTTCCATATTGTCCACGGTTTTCACTTTGAATCGAAAGGAAAAGCAGCCATCATGTTCTCTAAGGTATACAAATAACTTTTACTCTAAGGACCACATAGTATTCAGATACATAAGTCGAGGCTTTGCTTTCCTTTCTGTATAATAACGCTTCACCTCTTTCTTGCAGCTTCTTCTGTGCTGCCTTTTTGCCTACGTGGCCTGCGGCGTTGTTGTCGAACACGTAAGTTTACTTTGAATACATTTTGTTGTTTTACTGAAAGAAATCATCAGGGAAGATTTGAACGTAACCTTAGCAGTTATCACGTACAATATCTATCTCGTCATGTAACGGGAAAACATATCAAATAGCGCAAGAAAGACAACGACAAGAAGTATACAAGACAGGCGCTGTACACTTCTTGCCCTTGTATTTTTTTAGCTATTTTATGTTTTACTAAGATGAAACAGCTAGCCCAACAGCGTACCCTACTAAAGTAACAGGAACGTAATTACTCAGATTATTTCCTTTTGCCAACTGTATCGTATTTCTCATAACATATCACAGAAAATTGATAAGAAAATATTGTATAAATAAATTGGCTAACGAAGAAGAAGCAAATTTTTTTATAACATGTTGTTGGGTTTTAACAAGTGCTAGTCGCTGTGTCGTAGATATTTTTTTTATTTGAACCATAACATCTACAGAACGTTCAATATTGATGATAACCCTCAACAGTTACAATATGCACAGGATATTGTCCATGACAAGCAATACTGCACTAACTGGACATTGTTATATTTTGATTTTGTGTGATCAAACCTTTTACAGGCTCCATCCCAGCCATACAGCTTCGGCTTCGACAACGTCGACGAGTTCGGCACCCGCATGACCCGTCAGGAGACCGGAGATGAGTTCAACAACAAGGTCGGCTCCTACAGCTACGTTGATGCATTCGGTGTCACACGTGTGGTGAAATACGTGGCCGACGCCACCGGCTTCCACCCCACCGTCGAGACCAACGAGCCGGGAACAAAGACCTCCGTCCCAGCCGACGCTCCGTTCTTCTCTAGCGCCGTTGAGGGCCCACACCCGGTCGTTGTCAAGGCTGCCCCAGTTGCCGCGGTTCACGCTGTGCACGCTGCTCCAGTTGCCGTGCGCGCCGTTCACGCCGCCCCGGTGGTGCACGCTGCTCCTTTCGCCTACGCCCACCACGCTCCTCTCGCCTACGGTCTTGCCAAGCACTTTTAGATGAACAATAAATTATTCACATGCGTGAGATTAGACCTTTGTGATTCAGTTTAAAAATGCAATCAATTTATGCGAATCAAAATATGTTACATCACCAGTACACCAGCCGGCAATATGAAGGTGAACACCTTACCTGGTTTCTTGCCTGTGTTACAGCTCCCGAAAGCTATATTGCCTATTAACGTCTCAAATAGTACGTGGCTTGGGGTCTAAACTTTGCGTTCTAGCCATCTTCTAGAACAGAGCTTGTTCCAAAACTTTTAGGAACGTCAGAAATAAGAAGAGGGCTGTTCACCTTCATATCGCTCACGGCTGTACATTGCAGTTCTAGAACATGCATTCGTTGCACTTTTTCCATCATGCCAAGTTTTTCTATTTTGTTCATTGGAGAACATTGTCTTATAAAACTTCACTTCGGTGTACCATTTAGGCAACTGAACTCCTGTTGACGTTTCTACGTTGCGTAAAATGACAGTCCAACCTGCCATGCATTTCTTTGTGCAATCCATTGGACAGAGTGGTATGCTCTGCAAAGTTCAGTAAATGAATCTAATTAGCTTAAATACTATGATATTATGCTTAACGGAGACTGTTACGTGAATTAAAATTGTCACAAAAAGTGGAATTTTCTTTGAAACTTTTGTAAGTATGAAAAAGGGTTTTAATTACCTAACATAACATGCACGATACGCAATTACAGTGCTATGGCTAAACAGTAAACTTTAAGATATGTGTATCGCAGAAATGGTCGCATACAGACACGATGGAACATCAAACATCTATATTATGAACTGTGAGGAGTTCTGCACTCGAACTTTGACGCCATCACTATGACGCGAGGGCCTTGGTTGCGCACGGAGTGATGTGCTAGCGTTTCACTGGAAGTCGTGTTAAATCTATACGCAGGTGAGGGATTGAGAATAAGGGCTGAGCTTGCGTCCTTGTCGAGACGCCCTGCTGTTTTCATAGGTTCTGTGACTATAATGCCTCGTGCAATTGCGTGAATGTTGATGTATTTAAAATTGTTTTTTTGTCTACACACTTTCATCACGACAAAGGTGCATTTTTTAACCCATAAACACTTTATATCTTATCGCGGTGTCTGTTTCGCATATTTGTGATTCTGTACACAATTTTAGAAAGAAGAAAGCCTGCTCTCAGGAACATACAAGACTAAGTATTATTTATTTACTATTAGCGACGAGTATTCCACAATTTTCAAATTATGCTTGAATATCCCCAAGGTCTCGTACATGTCGGTTGGTATCCGGCACATGCATTTGACATTTTAGCGTAATATTACTTTCTTTGTGAAAGCAAACCTTATCAATTTTGCAGGCTGCGACAAACGCCATCCCATTTCTTGTATCAAAGTGTAGAAAAATGATACAGGCGCCATTGACAAAAATTAGGAACACTGAAGGCGACCATTGTTCGTAAATGCGGTGTTCTACAAAACGATGCTCCTTGCAATGGCGTTCAATGAAACAGGGTACTGTAAAATGGCGTTCGATGCCATATACGATCCCAGTGACTGTTGTGTTCCCCACGAATACCTTCTACGACACACGTCTCACAATAAGTAACCTTCAAACCCACATTCAACTTGGGTAAACAAGGAGAATCACCATTAAAAAACTTTCGTGAAATGCCGCCCATGCAAAACCTCCCGCACTCGCTTTATGGAAACTTGTAAAGCAAAACAAACCAGAGCAAACGCTTCCCAGCTCCGAAAACCACTGAGGGCACTCAAATCAAATAGCCAGCTCTTGATATAAACGTCTCTTTGGCACCCTGTGAAGTTGCCTTTTATAATATTTAAAGTTCTCAGTGTCAATTGCTTGAAAAATAAAATTATATTTATCAAGTTGTTCCACATCAGAAATTATCAACCTTGAGAGAACCCATATTTTTGTGGCCCAAATATGTCATTCAAACATTTCACAGTTTGGTCAGTGTACTACGTGGAGCCATATGCCATACCAACATCACAAACAACGTTTTTTCAGAACTGGTTAATGTATCTTCATCTGTTTCTAACAACTTCGGATACAACCAGAGAAAGAAGATAATCGACTCCATTCAATGCCATTTTGAAGCATAACACTAGCGCAGTCTTTATTCACGACAAAAGTGTTAGGCCGTGATCGAATGCATGCACATATATAACAGGGGAATCAAATTCCTGTCTTCCAAAATATGCCTCCCTTAGGTAAGTAAATATTTGTCAAAGGATCCAAGCGATGATTTAATTTCTTTTGTTTTCATGATGTTTAGTTTTGCGACAAATATTGTATTTGTATACGGTAAGCTTCTGTCAGAACTCATGAAACCTCACAGTTTGTTGTTTTGCAGTTTTCTAAGCGTTCTGAAACATCTAAGAGGTTTTTGCAGTTAGACATGATGTAATGTTTAGAGACAACTTTAAATTGTAGACATTATACTTGTTGGCTGGTGAGTGAAAAAATGTAATGTAGTATATCAACGTTTGTGATCAGCACGTGATTTATGGAAATTCTATGAAATTCAGTGTTACTTATGTTTACCAAAATGAACTCAGTGCGGATGGCAAAATATTCAATCATGAGAAAACGGTGCTGTCAAGGCAGACGAATTCTAGAATTTTAAGTGAGCAATTGAATATATATATTTTCGTTGTGGAAATTACATTAACAAATCATTTTACAGAAAAAGAATCGATTAAGAAACTTGTACCAGGGAGTCTATTTCATGTTGTAGTCAATCATACTACAAGTCTGTCTTCAATTGTGATGGCCACAGAACGCCCTTGATGTTATGCGAATTAGTTTGTTATGTGCAAAAAAGAGAAGCCACGAGGCTCCTCTTTTTTGCACATGACAAATCCGGAATTTCAAACCGTCATATGGGCCCCTAAGCAAACCGGATTTCTAGAAACCGTAAAATGAACCGGAAATGCCCAGTCCGCAAAACCCAACCGAAATTGGTCGAAGCGGAAGCTGAACCGTATCTGGCCAATCCGTAGAGCTTCACCGGAGTGGCTGTAACCGTATATTCAATCGTATCAGGTAACACCATAATATAATAGAAATAGTTTAATAGTGACATACCTACTGTTTCACCTTCCGATGTACTGCAGCTGATGCTAGAGGCCATCCCTTACAAAAATGACATATCTAGACTTCTAATAAAAAATACAGATATGATATATAAGGAATTGGGCAGATATGACCACATATGCATAATCAGACAATATCTGGATGGATATAGCCATATCTGCCCAATTCCTCATATACCATGTATAGACTGCTTTATATGATCCCGTGTTTGGGCCTGGAAAATAGAGTACCCACCCCACATAAAGCAATTTTCACGTGATGCTCCTTCTAGCATCACATTAAAATTATTGCCATAGGGCAGGTACCATACCTTCAGGTCCAGACAAGGGATCATATAATGCATTTCTATGAATATCAACAAAATATACATTTTACTGCTACCCCACACTGCCAAACGTGTGTTTACGTCGATACATCGACAGAATAGGCCATTGACCAATCATTATTCGCCGGGTTCGAAATTTTTAATTCCGACAAATGTGTATGCTACGAAGCTAAAATGCAGGCGATCGCTAGTTAGGAAACGTGTCATTCGAAGTCGGAAAATCACAGCCCGTTGGCAGGATAGGTTGTCGAGGCAGCACAGAGAATATGGTTTGCAAAAAAAGTTTTATACATAAAAGCGCCAAAACTCCAAACAAGCACTTCCGCCGTTCAAGAAAACAAAATCGTAATATCACACGGACAACCATTAAAATAAACTAAAAATGTAATAGCACACAGACACCTAATAAAATAAAACAAAAGGAAGGCCCAATTAAGCTGTAAGCTATACGAAAGTTCCAAAGTCGTTCATTTTTATTCACAGGGTCAAGTCCTGATTCAACTCTCCGCTCGAACACATCAGTTTTGACAAGGGCTTGCTTGCTAGCCTCGTGGCTGATGTCCTTCCTTGTACCGTGCGATGTTCAAAGTCCCCCAGTCGCTCCTCGCTGGCCTTGTTCTTCCGTTCGGTCCCGAAATCATCCCTTGTGATCAACAGGTCGCACACACACACGCACAAAGACACCATTGTTCGCCGGAAGCAATACAAGATCGAAAGTTCATTACTGCTCCTTGAACAGAACGAGGTCACCACCGTTTACCGGACTAGAAAATGACGAGGGCATCATATATTTAACTAAAACTTAATAAAAGAAAAAGATTAATAAATGATGAACACATAAGTAACAAAAACACGGCCTAAATCATGAGAAAAACGCGAAATAATGAACACACACATAAAAAAAATAAAAACACGAAGGACTTACACAGACAGCCACATTTATTCAATTAACAATGAGGTTTAAGTCTGATAAAAAAAATAATTCTGCTGTGCTAAACATCACCAATATGTTGTGTAAGCTAGGCCACCTTGAGCAAAGCAGGAATATTTGTGATCATATTCAAATGTCATTGCGAACTCAAAACATGTGACTACCTGCCTAGGTCCTTCATGTTACTATTCTTCTGAATTCTGTGTTCATTTTGTGGCTGTTCAGAACCAGGCGGAACTTGGTGGTGCTCTTTCCATTCTGACCTTACTTCGGACAGCTCTGTACACATAGAGAGAAGCACTAGCTTTCCTACATAGTCCCACCCCTTTTCCCTGGAGATACCCGCCGTGTATGCTGTAATTGGAAGAAAAAAAAACAATAATCAGCACACATACACATTAGCTACATTGTTTTGCAATAATTTTTCTAAATAGGCCCTGGCCTAGGACAACACAAGACGTTTTTTGGGGGGCGATGTAAAGATTTAACACAAACGATTTGGCCCGCATTTTGCTGAATAGCCAAATCCGCAGACACTTCACAATAATTTATGCTTATTAAACAGTGTGCTTTATGTGGGGCCTTTAAGTGCAAAGCATCCAAAGTGCGTGTCCGTCTGCATTTGCACAGTTTACAGAAGAGGGGA